TTAGTATGTATTTGAAGACAAAAACAAATGTTTTCATCAGCATGCAGACTGTGCCAAGTAAAGCCATATTCCTCCAGTCTCTGTAGTAATGCTAGCGCTGGGTGACCATAAATCCACTGGAATATACCACACACACACATTTAGCAAATTTCAACTGATTGACAGCTTATTTTTGGTCAATTTCTACCTTTATCTTCACCTAAATGCATTTTCTTGAAGTCTGGCGATCTCGAAAGTATCATCAAATGATTGGGCATCCCTAATTTAGTTGGATCCACCTACACACACACACACACACACACACACACACACACACACACACACACACACACACACACACACACACACACACACCTTATTTTTGGTCAATTTCTACCTTTATCTTCAACTAAATTCATTTTCTTGAATTCTGGCGATCTCAAAAGTATCACCAAATGATTGGGCATCCCTAATTTAGTTGGATATGACACCTTAAATGTTTTTCTACAATGTTTGGTTCCAAAATTAAGCGTGTTTGAACATTTGACCCGAGAGACTGGTGGCCATCTTGGATTTGACCTCTCACGGTCCTCACGGGTCAAATCTGACTTCCCTCCACATCTGAAAATAAACCTTATGGTATGCTCTAACTATGTTAGAAATGTCATGCTTTTCTCATAAAATGCACAATTGTTATAATATGAGAGCTTATCCGCTGTACTACAAATCACATTGTTTGGTGGATGCAGTTTGAACCAGAGTAGCAGCATGGAGGTCGGATCGTCACCAAAATAAATAAATAAGTGGTCCGAAAAAAGTTAATGACAAAAAATACACATAACCTTCCTCAGGCAGTGTGTCAGTGTGTTTGTGCCGGGGACAGGAGACCCCCCCATGATGAGAAACTGTAAGAAAGTATCAGGGGATCCCTGCGGAGTGGAGTCAATTAATGTTTATTTTCTTATTTGGTGGTTTGTGTTCCAGCTGTCAATCAGCTGTGCGCAGCGTATCCACTGCAGCCTGTGCTGCCCCCCGCAGCAACTCCATATCCACCAGTTAAAGGAAATAAAACTAATGTGTTGAGTTATATCAGCTGCCAAATCTACCAAATATATGGTTTACTGTTCTTAGTTTCCATACCTCCTGTGTTTTATGAGCGACCTATCAAGTCTTAGCAAATGGCATAAAACATGATTAAACATGATAGTATATAAAACCATGCTCGTATACCTTACAACCTATAGAAATACAAAACGGCCTCAGTTTAGACGTAATTCTGTCCTTCTACATACCGCATTATGAGAATACATGTTATTATAACATTAAGACAACATATTCGAGGGGTGATCAATAACCGTATATATATTTCTCCAAGTTATGTTTTTGTGTGCACTGAGTAGTCTCAAACAGGTGTTTGTTTAATCTTTTTAAGATTGGCTTCAATCAAGTTTTGCGAATTAATTCTTCATATGATAAATGAGAGGTAACATTTTATTTATGGTATTATTTTCACATAATTCTCTCCATTCTTCCTTCTGCCAACGGTGTCGCAGTTTCTCGTCTCTCCCGTTTTTGTGCGTACGCATGGGTCAGAGTTTGCGTGGAGGACCGCACATTTTCCCGTCAAGTTTGTTTTTTATAAATCGCAAACTTTGCGTAGAAACTGGCAAACGCCATCTTTTGAGCATACGCACCGTTTATAAATGAGGCCCCAGCGCCTTGCGTAGGATTGACGTGAGAAGGTTGCTTACGTAGTACAAAGCAAAAAAATAGGTACAGACATTTTCCGACATTTTCCGATTCACAAAACATTGCGTACCGGCGAGGGAAGTGCGTACCGGCACTTCCTACGCCTGTTTCCCTTTATAAATCACAATCGACTCGAAATGCGGCGCAGCTTTTGCGGGCTTCACGTAACGCCCATATTTGCCTATAAATAGTCAAAGAAACGCCCATTCATTCATTCATTCATTTTGACTGACTGCATGAAGAAGATCGCAGGAAATTACGACCGAACAGCTAAAAAAGACATCTCACACCGTGTCAGATTTTGCTTATTTTGGGGAGGTCGAGATAAATCATATTGTTTGGTGAATGCAGTTTGAACCAGAGTAGCAGCATGGAGGTCGGATCGTCACTAAAATAAATAAATAAGTGGTCCGAAAAAAGTTAATGACAAAAAAAATACACATAACCTTCCTCAGGCAGTGTGTTTGTCCTGGGGACAGGAGACACCCCCTTGATGAGAAACTGTAAGAAATGATCGGGGAATCCCTCCGGAGTGGAGTCATGACGACTGGATCTGAATTATTTTGTTGTATTTGGTGGTTTGTGTTCCAGCTGTCGATCAGCAACTATATATCCATAATCCACCAGTTAAAGGAAATACAACTAATGTGTTGTGTTATATTAGCTGTACAATTGACCACATATGGTGTTCTTAGTTTCCATACCTCCTGTGTTTTACGAGCGACTTATCAAGTCTTGGCAAACGGCATAAAACACGATTAAACGTGATAGTATATAAAACCATGCTCGTATCTACAACCTATAGAAATGCAAAACGGCGTCAGTTTAGACGTAATTCTGTCCTCCTGCTTACCGCATCATTTATGAGAAAACATTTCATAACATTAACACAACATATTCGAGGTGGTTTTAAATAACATATCCGTATTTATTTATTTATCCAAGTTATGTTTTTGTGTGCACTGAGGAGTCGCAAACAGGCGTTTGTTTAATCATTTTAAGATTGGCTTTAATCAATGTTTGAAAATGAATTCTTCATATGATAAATGAGAGGTAACATTTATTTCCACATATTTCTCTCCATTCTTCCTTCTGCCAACTGTGTCGCAGTTTCTCGTCTCTCCCGTTGTTGTGCTTAGTGCGTACGCATGGGTTAGAGTTTGCGTGGAGGACCGCACATTTTCCCGTCAAGTTAGTATTTTATAAATCGCAAACATTGCGTAGAAACTGGCGTACGCCATTTTTTGAGCGTATATCCCTTTATAAATGAGGCCCCAGAGCAGTGGCAGACTTTTTATTGTACTAAATTGTGCTAACCAGGAAATAAACACCATATGCATGGAAATCCCATGGTAAATCTGCAGCATAAACGCACCCACGCATATCTGCAAACACATTCTTCACACATAAAATAGCTAAGTCCTCACATTCATACATTTGCATATCCCATTGAAATGCATGTGCAGAATCAGTGTTAACAGCAGTGGCGGCCGGTCCATAGGGGCGCTAGGGGCGCCGCCCCACCTCTTCCCATATTAAAAAATAAAAATAAAAATAAAAAATATATTTTAAAAAATATTTTTTTTTTTATTTTTTTTTTTAATGAACAAGATAAATATTATATAATTGGTATCAGTAAAATGTATAATCTACAATAAAATCTCGTTTAAAATTGTGTTACGATGTCTAAAGTTACTGATAAGTCACATGTTTCCTGCCTGGCCTTGCCCGTGTACCTTCTCTCGTCTGGGCGCTAAGAGAGGAGCCCTCAACCAGTGCAGCAGCAGCCACTAGCAGCTGACTGTTGCTATCTGTAACGTGTAAACTATGCCGCGAAAACATAATTTCAGCCAATCAGCGTCGTCAAATATGATGGTCACAGGGCTCCTACGTGAGCGCCCGGTGCAGTCTGTGAGTTGTTTGGACTCGTATCCAAGGAGACAAAACAGGAAGCTGTCATACACTCTGGAAGCTACCATTTAGCAGCTAATGAAAACTCAGTTTTTGACATAAAAATGGAATTATGGATCATCAATCATTTTTCAAAGTGACAGACACATTGAATTAATTTATGGATTAACCTTCAGCTGCGTTTTTCTCGTTTTTGATCAGAATTGTTATTCTGCAAAAGGTGAGCATATCTCCATGTTTTGCTACCTAAAGCTACGTCGTGTGATGTCTGTATTTGCTTCCCCTGTCGCGAGTTCTGATCGCTCAGTGATGATACTTATATTTCTAGAATATGTGGAATCTCAGCTTGTAAGCTTGTTTGTGCATATCCGATAAGTATATCGATTGATTTATACCTAGAGTGCGTTAGCATTTTTTCGCTCAGGGCTCATTTAGACGCTTCTTGTGAGACTTGTGTTTTGTTTCGGTAAACATGGTTCATATCATCAGTTAGATGCGTTTCCTCTGAGTAGGACACATGAATAGTTTATTACATTTTAAGAAGCCCTGAGACACAGTTTCGTGAGAAAAAAAACGGGGGAAAAAAGCCCCTTAACAGGTTAAATGGGAATTAAATCAGTGTTCCCAAAGCCCCGGTGTTCTGCAGTTTGTGTGGGCCTACTGTACTGTTGCACAGTTTATGCTGTAGAAACTATGTCCAGGACAAGGTGTTTGGAAGTTTTGGAAGATTTATAGCTAACCACACTGAAGTTATGGAGGTATTGATCAGTCTTCTCATATTTTTAAGCCTCAAATTGTCCTTCTCCCCCCCTCTAACATCACCAGAAGTCATGATTTAAGGGGTCTTTTCTCAAAAAATATTACCGGGGGAGCATCCCCCCGGACCCCTCTAGTATTGTTTGATCACCATTTCCACAGCCCCACCTAAAATATTTTCCACCAGCCGCCACTGGTTAACAGTAGATGACCGCTGATTATATATTATCATCTTATAACACCAGGGAGTTTAGTCTATCTTGAATGCAACTGTATAAGGTAATTGAATCCTAACATTGAATCCAAAGGTAAACGGTAGCACACACATAGATCTTCAGGATAAAGTTGAGTTATCTCAATTTGACCAATGTACTAGTATACATATAGATTTATTAGTTAATATATATTTCTGTATCCAGTCTATGGCTTCTGAAAAAGTATATCTTCTGAAATGTTCTTAATGACAAATATACATGGGCTAAATTGTATTACCATGCTCTTATAGTATTATTTATGCTGTATAACAATGTATTAAATTGCATGTAAAGATGCCTATTTTATGAAGTAAGAGGAGGAACTTTATTTATGTTGCTCTCCTCTTGCAGGACGGGCGTTGCTTCGTTTGAATGGGGAAAAGCTAGAGAGGATGGGAATCGTCCAGGAGACGCTGAGGCAGGAGGTCCTCCAACAAGTCCTCCAGCTGCAGGTCAGAGAAGAGGTCCGCAATCTGCAGATCCTTAGTAGAAGTAAGTAACAAGACGGTGTGTGTGTGTGTGTGTGTGTGTGTGTGTGTGTGTGTGTGTGTGTGTGTGTGTGTGTGTGTGTGTGTGTGTGTGTGTGTGTGTGTGTGTGTGTGTGTGTGTGTGTGTGTGTGTGTGTGTGTGTGTGTGTGTGTGTGTGTGTGTGTGTGTGTGCACAGGGAAAGAAGGAGAGCAGTTTGGCTAAATTGGGTGGAGGCAGTCTGAGACCACGCGCTCATACCGTGACATACGTGGAGTTGGACATGGACGTGCAATTGTTTGTGGCTGTGTGGGGCTTTATTGATAGGAGCCCTTGATTTGCTGCCTTGCCGCTGAACGATGGCTTTGGTAAACACTTTTATTATCCAGCCATCAATAAATGGCTCAGTCAATCACCGCTGACCTTGATTCAGCAGTTTCCTTCTTGAAAACCTGTTTCAGCTGTCGTTGTGCTTGTTGTTGGTGATTGTTGTCTATGTTCATTCATGGCTAGGCTACTCATCAAAGTTACATTTCCACACAATTTCCTTCCTCTCGTGCTGGATTTCAAAAGTTTAAATCATTCAGTTTTGCAATGAAATGTCAACCAAAAGTTCCTGGATAGATACATAGGGGTTATCTTTTGGAGAAGTCTACTAAGTCAAAATTGTATTGACTTTTCAATGGTATTAAACACTTATTAAGTCATATTTAATAATTTGATGGATGAGTAGTGTCATGTTTTTTTTTCATCATTTGTGTTCTGAGCCAAATGCTCTTTGACTTCCAGCTTTTTTACTCCCTTATTACTTGGGGACAATAATCTTCATGATCATGACCTTTTATCAGCAGCAGCATCATGAGCTCATGTCTTGAAGGAAGGGATGTGCAGCATTGCTTTAGTGGTTTCCAATGTACGTCAGTAATTCAGTTTTCAAACAATAATGTCTGGAGGTTTTGTCTGCTCTCTTCTTGTTAATGGGGCACCATGGAGTGCAGAACATTTTCTGCAAAAATAATTAAATGAGAACAAGTACTTAAAAATGTTCTCCAAATTGTGCATTCTGTCTTGACATAAATAAGCATTATTAAATGCAGTGCAATGACGTGTTTATGCCACCAACTGTTCATTATGAACTGATAATGTGAGGGCTCTTACAATCACCGGCTTCATTCAAACAAGTAAATGAAGTGGTCTTTGCAATCTGTCATGCTCACACTCTCATTTTCTGATCATTCATGTTGCTCGTGCTGCTACAGTTTCTTTCTCTCCACAGTCTGCATGGAGATAAAAGCTTGACAGAAATTATATAAAGAACTCTTGGTTTGATGCCCATTTTAATCTATCCATGACCCTTTGGGACCTGAATGTGTTTTGTAGTGACAACATCAACAGTGTATGGAGCCAGAGATTTTGAGAGCTCCACAACCCCACAGCAAAATGAGAAGTGAGGGTGAGGAAGACGGAGATCGGTAGATGTGATTTAAAAGATAAGAAACCTAGTGCTACAAACCTGAGATCTATGGAGACTTAGCAACTCATAGATATGGGCTCCTGACTGTGAGCTGACATTTAGAAATGTAATACATTCATCCAAAGACATGGAATAGCACAATATAAAATAGTAATAGAACCATTTAGGAAAATAACTACTGCAATCAAAGAACAATCCTTAACTGTCTGAATGATGAACAAAAAACAGATACTGGACGTTAAGTTATTGATTCTTACATTTACAAAGGCCTTTGATTAGAACCACTTGAATCTCCAATTGCAATTACAGAATAAGATTAGCAGTCATACAAGAAGAACAGCCAATATATGAAGGACTTAATTGGGCTGTTATTCAATTATAATCGACATTAACAAAGACCACACAAAAATCACCCTTTCTTAGAGCTAATGATGATACTGACAATCACAGTTGAAACTGACTATTTTGCTTAAACGTTTAGCATTTCTGCCTCAAAGTTTCACAAGAAAGTGAGAGAAACTTAATGATGTACAAATTGGGATGGTATGCAGCAAAGGCACCTGACCAGTTTTATGTGTCACTTAATGTTTAAATATTGGATCACCAGAACTACCTCAGTGCTAATTTATTGTTTCATATCTTTCGTATTTGCTCATTCCTCTCAAACTTTCCATTGCATTCATGCCAATCCAGCATGTTGAATTTAATCAAACTGAATTAAATTGAGGGATGGAATGCAATTGACTAGTAAGAAGAAATAATTAAAAAGTTGTCGGACACTTCTATTAATAGAGCAATGCAAATGCAATTTGCCAGTTCACCAGGCTCTGACTCTAAGCTATAAGGGCAAGCTAAAACACCTGAGGTTCACAGGGTTGGAGGGTATTCCGAGGTGATAAAAGAAGGACGGTGTGAAGCAGCTGCAGCGGTGATAATGGGGGTTGTTTTAACTGCTGAGTGTGATGAGGTGGTGATATGGTGTTGGGTGAGGGCAGAGAGGACACAAGTGTGAGTGTGGACATGAAAAAAAAACATAATGACCTGTCCTGTCATTATCTACTACAGCATGACAACTGACACGTCAGCTAAGTTTATGCAAGCGTCAGGCTTACTCATGTCTCTGCTTCACTATACTTTTAAACTACTTAAACCCAGCATGATTTTGGCAAATTGCAAAGTGGCTTTGGGGATGGAAATGTGAGTTTGACTACAACTTTGGTCCAGACTGAAAAATCGTAGCAACTATTGATAGATTTCTTAAAACTGTTAAACAGACATTAATGGTCTCTCTACTGGCTTTTGGGCTCCATTGACTTTTCTTCTATCATCACAAGATATTTGCGGTTTTGACTCAAATGTCTCAGAACCACAATGAATTGTAATAACTTTGAGAATGGTCGTGACAGCGCCATCCTCTGGTCAGCGTTTACATTTGACCAATATTTAGTTTTCTAACATATCTGTAAAACTAAAGAAAGTTAGCCAAATTGTGTTTACTTTCTTAAAAACATTAGTATGCTAAACTGAGAGAGTAAACATGGTAAACATGGAGCATGTAAACTGTGCAGCTTCACAGAGCTACTAGCATTGCTGTGGTTGAGAGACTGTAAGATTAAGAAGCAATACATGTGCTGATTTTATTAGAAAAGATTATGTTTCAACAAGAAAATCGTAAGTGATGTGTTTGGAGAAGGGATGGTGATGGTGAAGGTGAAGTGGAGGGATGAGGGCTGGAGCTGAGAAACAAGACGCCACTCTTCGCACAATAACTAAAGCAGTTCAAACTGTAACCTAACACACACTTTCAGCTGTTGTCCCTGAAAGATTCTCCCAATACATTTTCAATTCTGGTGTGATTTAGTGGAGCCTTGTGTCATACTGCCTGTCAGGTCTGATTCATCTGCAATGGATTTACCAAAGATTAAATATTGATCCCACAATAACTGTTGAAGGGAAGATGAAAAATACAAATAAGATTGAATGTGATGTGTGTTTGTCTCTGATCTGAGCCGTGATAGCACGATTCATCACGACCCTTGCAAGACTCAGGGAGCTTTGTAAAAGCTCTTTTCTGTGATTTCTTAAACCTTTACAAGCAGTGTGAGCTCTCCTGATGTCTCTCGAACTCCTTTTGAAAATATAAAATACAAAATGATAAGGACAAATGATAGAAAAGTGAACTAAAACACATGAGAGATGATTTTAATTGGAGAGGGAAGAACAGGAAGAATAGCTAGCACACAAAAAGAGGACACCACTGTGAATAGAGGTGAGATTTGTAAAGATAGGGAAAAAACAGGTGTAGAGATCGACATATTATAAAGAAATGAGACGGGTAAATAGGTTAGTGAAGGAGCTGGAATAGCGAAAGAAGGCATGGTCTGATTTTCATCCCCTCCTGTGGTCCCATACTTTCCGCTCCATGCTAATCTGTCTGAAGCAGGCTCACTGGCTCGAAGCACTGTAATAGCATTTCACACTCAACATGGAATCACATTTCTTCTCTTGAAAATGATTGTTGAAAATGTTGTTCTCCACACAAAAAATGAGAGTAAGAATTCCCAAAAATGCATGTCTGTGACTGCATTTTTTTATAATCTCCAAAAGCATTATTTTTTTTGGTCTGTCTCATGAATAGAAGTGCAACACTAAATCACTGCAGTACCCCTTTGAGGTTTACTGTTGTGACTTCTTAGGTTTGGTGCTTGTTGTCTGTTGAAGTAGCCTCAGGCTCTGAAGAGCACATGAAAACATTTTATACATATATTTTATCAGATCACTTCTGAGAATGCTGTCCATGGGGTATTTCTCGCTGGCTTCTCTAGCACTAGCCACCATGAATGGAAACATGTTTTTTTGAGTTTGATGTTCTACACAGAGTTGTTCAGCAGACATTTTCTGAAAGGAGCAGAAAATCTGAATCACATCTTATTTTCATTTTATTTCATTACTTCATTTTGGACGTGACTGCAAAAGTTTCTTAGAGTTCTTTCATGTTTTCATATGAAATAGTGAGAGTCGCAAGACTAAACTCATACTGCACTCAGTACATTTGGATTGTTTTCCATCTTAACTGTGAATATCAACCGTCCTATTTGCCTTTAGTGGGATGCATTTTTGCTGAAGAACTTTTGGCACCCGTTGTAACTCTAAGAAACTTTTGCAGCCACCTTTCAACTCAACAGGGGCTTAGTGTTTGAAACTAAAAACATAGATGCTTGTATAACAATCCTTTGAAACATACAGCAAAGTTTTAGGTCCTGCTTGAACAACACAACTTACTCAAAGTAAAGTTGAATAAATAATGCATAGATGATATTCAAATCAGATCACCTCAAAGTATTTTGCAAGTGTAAATATTCTATAGTTTACAGTGCATTGTTACACAGTATATTCTTTATTTCCTCTTTTCCTCAACCGGTTTATGGTTGTGAAAGCAGATATAGTGCATGTACAGTATCTTGTATTATTTCTTCACCTACAGTATGTCATGTATTTTCAGCAGGCTAAGCAGTGTTTATCAGTTATTCAGTGAGAGGTAAGGATGATGTCTTCCACGCCCCGGAGCCATAGCTCTCTTGGGGCAGTGTGAACCATGCAGGGGTTGTTGTAACATCTGGAAAGCTTTGGGAGGTAGGATTCAGGTCAGAACCCGGGGGGACCTGCCCTCCTTCTTCTGCTCAGCCTCTGGTTGTTGGTGTATCTTTACAATAAACTGTCAGTCCCTCCTTCCTTCTCAACAAATCCAATTTTCATCAAAGTCATTCTATGCCTTTGTTTGTAGCCATATGCCATGTTTCATGCTTTCTGTGCTTATAAGCTGGAACATTGTGACAAACCTTTGACCCCTACCCTAAATCAAAGATATCTTGACGGCAGCACCTTGGTTGCTGGGGGAGATTTGTCTTGGTAACCTTGTTGCTCCTGTGATGTTACCCATCGCTGCAGAGCTTTACTCATGTGGCGCCTGCCAGCTGAACTGCAGCTCTGAATTAAAATATGAATAAAACTCTGAGCTTGACAGACAGAAAAAAAGAAGGAACATGACATTTCTCTTCAGCTCAAATTTTGCCTGGGTGCTGCTTTCCTATCCACTCCTCCTCTGGTGCACCTAGGCTGTGATGACTCCATCGGGAGCTCATTTAAAAGGTTTTCCATCAGAGAAGTTGTTTTCTCTGTGTCTGTACAAGTCTCTAGTCATATTAGTGACTCTCCGTCGTTTCCTGGTTCAGCTTCACTCCGGTGCCGCGTTACATCTGTCTGTGTCTAGAGACAGGTGGCGCGTCTTCCTGGGCCTTCAGGAGAGGGGGGCTTAGAGCTGAAATGCCAACAGTCTGGGAGAGGAAAGTCTGCTTCCCGCCGACTCCTAGTGTCATCTCAGGATGGAACGAACTGGCTCGTTGTCAGGGAAACCTCCTGGTTGCATCTCTTGTTTCCATATCAGACAGGAGATAATGACATTCAGGAAGAAAGGACTTTTATTACATGCTGATTAGCTTAATGTCATCATTTCCGTCCTTTTGTACACACAGAGCGCTACAATAATGATGTATTAGAAGCATATACTGTCAGATGTATAGATATAGGGAATCTAGCAATACCCCTGTGCTTAAACATTACACTTTTTGAAGAAAATCTCTATTATGTGATTACTAAACATCGTTATATTGATGACAGTTTAGGCTTTTCCTTTAACAGTCTTTTATGTCATTATTTTGTTGTCACTCTGCCAACATTAGCGACAGGCGCAATCTTCACGCACAACATTACTCTCCTACTACAGTCAGCTATTTGTCGTGCTAAATTATTGTTTTTTCTATTAGAAAGGGAGTTGCTCTGTGATTGAGTGCAGAGTGTTGAAGGAAGAGAGGACAGCCACACTGGTTACTTGTTTGATGGCTAACAGAGTCTGGGGGAGTAAGGTGTCGCACACAGATTCAGGGAGGATATGAAGCCCAAACTCTCTCTCAGATGTGCTTTCAAGGCAGGATGTGTTTCAACAATTTCATGGTGCATTAAAAGAGACAGACCAATGCATTTTGACCGTGCAATGAGGCTACAATAGGGCATGAAAAGAGCACACTATTTCTGCACTTTCACCTCAGTTTTTTCCATCTTTGTGAATCCTAATAATGTACCCCCTCTTTTCTCTCTCCTCTCTCTGCAGCCTCCTTTGGAAACTTCTCTTAGCTCATCCATTTGGCAGCCCTTTCCTTCATCCCCTGTCACAATACATCTCCAGGAGCCATGGAAGAGCTGCTGTCTTCAGATATGTGAGCGGAGAATTGCAGAGTGAAAGGGGAAAGGACGAGCCTATAGACCAGATGCCAACCAGTCTGGAGGATTCTCATTGAAGGCGGCCAATTTGGTATACAGACACTGAGACAGAGACAAAGCCCTGCTCAAGGCAGGGGTACCCACTGTATCATTGTGATAAGATGCAAGATTCACAACCCTAGTGATGATGTAGGCCTGTCACTGGTATATGCTTGATCGCAGCAAATCTCCTCTTGGTTTCATGTCACATTTGGATCGGACATTTTTCAGAAGAACACTTGGATTTATTTTATTATAAGCTGTTACATGTCATGTGCACAACCAGGATTCATGTTGTTTCCTCTCTCTTGTGGTTAAGGTCATTACATGAATCACTCATTGGCATGGATTTATATAACCTTAACCCTCAAGCTAAGTGGTCCTGAAAACATGAGGATGATGACTTATATTACACGCAATGCCAGCATGTGGCCATTTGACCTTCAGTTTAAATCAAACTCCTTTTGAAACTGTATCACCAAAACCTGTTCACTAAGAATTACATCTGATCTGGACTCAAGCCAATATAATCTAAATAAACTCTTCATCCACAGGACACACTCACATTTCCCTTAGGACTTAACTTTTGGAAATGTAGGTGTTCAGCATCAACAATAACACTTTAAGCTGAATGTCATTCCAACAATCCGTTCTTTTGTATTGCAACTAATCTGCAGTAAGAAATTAGAAACATATCTAGAGTATGTTGTAGAATAACATATTAATCTACGTACACAGTACCAGTACCTTAGTCTTTATTAATGGAATGGATCCAGAGGACACAGAATATGATAATCACCGACTGTCGACGCTTTATTAAGCAATAACTTAAATGATAAAAGGTGGAGATGAGCAGCACTGTATGGGATAGAAAAATTAAGATGCAAGTATTGGTGTCTGCTGAGAGAAATATAAATTGTATCTGTTACTGGGCAGCATTTGCCAGCCTCATGGCTTCTGCCCTTTGTGTGTGCTACTGTATACTGTATGTCATATCTCGCACACAAATACTAAGTATAAAGGACAAGGCTTTGTTTTGTTCAACCCACTGTCTGTCCCTGGTGTGACACTTTGATTTCAAATGCTCAGAAATTAGAATACTATGACAGCTACCCAGATGTAAGATTCCCAGAGCAACTCGAGCAAGCACCTTTGAGGTCACAGCAGAAGACAGCTATGTAGAATGAAGACGTTTCTGTCTCTTAAATAAATAAACTCAATAGATAAAAAACCTTTCAACAAACATAACCTAACCTTCTAACATACCTTCATTCGTTCTTTGACAAGGAGTCTTTGAGTAACGTCAGTATTTGACTGTTAAAGGGAGAAAAACACTGTATTATTTTTGGATAATGTGATGTAATGTAAATATGAACATTTTTGGGTTACTTTGTCAGATGATTGATGAGCTGTTTTAAATGCAAAAAAGGGAAAATGAAACATATTTATCTGCTTTACAGATATGAAGACATATGATGTGGAATATGATGAAAGCTGTCTTTTTAGAATAAATTAATTGAGATTCAGTGTTGGTCCTGTTTTATCATAGTTTTAACATGATGTCTACTTCATTTTCTATTCATTTTCTTTCACGAGAGGTTAATATGTACTTCAGCTTCAAGAGGTAGAACATATGTCTGATATATACATTTCAAGTTTTTCCAAATGTTTGGAAATCAGTTCTTTTAATCATCTCTTGAAACAATATGGCATATTGTATTCCAGTCTTTGAGAATTTGTTGTTTTGATGGCAGTGTTCCCATCATCAATGTGGATTGTATAAGAGAGTGAAAGAGTGTCCTCTGAGAATGGAAAAATAGCCAAGTCTCTGTGGGGAAGGATAGTTTGTTTATTTGAAAACTCAAAAAATATCAGATCAAAATAAATCATTAGACAATCCAAAAATCAATTAATCCAGGTTTCTTCTTCAGATTTGCTTCTGTCTTGGCATTGAGGGATGACATTTAAAAAAAAAATTTTGAGTAAAAGCAACCTATATTCAATTTCCTTACCATCTTAAAGGTGGGGTAGGTAATTTTGGAGAAACCAGCTCGAGTGCGCTAGAATTTGAAAATACACAGCCGGAAAAAATCTGCCACTTCCTTACAGAGCCCCTCCTCCAACACACAAACGCGCACATGACCAATGAGGGCACGAGATAAGTTTGTGCACAGATGGAAGGCTGACAGGCAGGTAGGCCCATATATATCTATGTATATATATCTATGGGTAGGCCATCCAGTTATTTTAGCCGGGCCGGCTAAAATGATTGGTCGTGCTTTTTACAGTATTACGGCTTCCACAGATGACATTTTTTTATGGATTTTTTGTCAAAGCACTTAAGATATTCATTGCTATCGGGATGTTAAGAGCATTCCATGGAATATAACAAAAAGTGTATCTCGAGCCGGTTTCTCAAACTTACCTACCCCACCTTTAAGCACGATATCCTTATTTTATTTTCTCAAACAGTACTTGTGGCACACAATTAAGTAGAATGTCCTCTTTTCAAATCCCAAGAGATCTAGAAATCCAATCCATATCCAAGAAATGCTGCACTTTTGCTGCTCTTTCTCAGTCTGAATTGTGTGAATTAATTATATTTGTTACAGAGGAAGGGTCTCAAATTTGCACCAGTGCTCTGACCTGTCATTCAGGGTGCTCGAGTCACGACTCAGTAAATTCAAAGTGGAGCTGCTTGCCTGAAGAGACACACTTACCTAGTCTCTGTCTTCTTACTCACGCACACACACACATGGGATCCAATTACTGAGAGACATGAAGCATCTCACAAGTTGATAACAAGGCACATGTATGATAAACAGATTCAGTGAACAGTGGCCTTCTGAACCCTGGCTGAGAATAAATCTACTGAGCAGATGGTTGGATGATGCAGTTAATTGGTTACTGTTTACTGTTAAGTGTCTTTTCTTTTTGAAATTCTGTCTTTTGCTATCATTCTCTAAAATGCAGAGGCTGTCCATCTAGCTTCTTTACTGTTAACTGCTAGCGGCTTTGATCAGCTGGATCTCAGTCCTCTGACAGCTCTGAAATAAAATGAGAAACACTCTGTCCTCTCTCATCAACTACTGTTGAGCAGCCCTTAAGCAGCTGCTCCAGTGGAGTTGCTCAGTGGCGCAAACAGCTGAAGACTGTTATTTCATGGCCAGCGCCCAAGTGTTAAAATTCAGGATACCACAAAGCAAGTCAGTATAGAAAAAAGTGCATGTGTGCTCACTCAACTTTCACTAGAAAGGTAAAATGATAAAATAACACAATCAACTGCTGGATGGACTCTTTAAGAGCCTTTTAGGGCGCAAGACCACTCCAACTGGCCAGTTTTAAAAACTATTAAGTAGCCTTTTGTTCACTCAGCAGGGGAGGAGAGGGAACATAAATCACTACCATGGTGAAAGGATTAATCACAGGTTAAACAAGGCCCTGCGTGAACTATTCATCAGCGACCATTTAAGGGAGCAAGAAGAAGCTTTAACTTTATCAGTTGGGCGGAGTGCAGAAAAATGGCAGTTATCACTCAGTTGAGAGTGAAAAACCCTCGGACTCAGTTTCATGAACCAGCTGATCATCCCTTCAAGTCTTAGGAGATGAGAGTTACACACATGACATTCCCATTAAAATCAACTACACATTTAAGGTGCAAAACATGCTACAGGGCCCTTGTTACCATATGATTTTAGAGCTGCCTGAAACAAATCACAGGACAACACTTCCCCCTTGTGGAAGCTTAATGCAAACAAATATTGACAAGACAGCCAGTAAAAACAACCATGTGTTTTGAAATATTTTATAATGTTCAACTATACAATAACTTTTTATCCTATTCTGTGAAATTCTTAACAAATAAAAATCAGTGGCATGATTAAACATTTGGAAACAGTATACTAAAAGACATAGCAAAGCAGTCTGCAAAAACAGGACTTTAACTTTAAGGAAATTCATTTAAGAGGTTGATACCTTTAAATACTTTAGTACAACGAAATATAAATTGAATGTACTTAAATACACGTTAAACTTGGGTGTATACATCACCACAGTCAATTTAATTCCATAAATTAGCCTCTCCTGCCCTCCACTGGTAATTCAGATTTTTTTTTTTTTACATAGCCTACATTACATCATGGTTTTAAATGATTTCCACTAATAGGAAATATTAGGTCATGACGAATGGCACCAATCAAATACAGGAAGAGAGAGACCTTCTGTTGTTTTACTGAAACCGAGTGAGTTGGAAATTATGCAATAAATGATTCATTTAATGAGCTGTGATACAAGGAAGATGTTGCTTTAAACCATATGTTAAACACTTATTAAAAATTTATATTTACATGGGAAAATGCAAGGAGTGTGCACATAGCCTGTAGTCCACTAACAGCAATTGAAAATCTAATATTTTATTGACTGTAGGTCTGTGTGTGTTGAGGTGCATTTAACATCAATAGGATTAATACATCTATATTGACCTTGAATTTTGGGATTGTGGTATTGATTCTTATAAAAGCATTTCTTATCTATAAGCCTATAACACTTACCGGATCTATTAGCCTATAAATAGATGATGTGAGTGAACTCATTATTAAGCACATTTGCTATTCCAGTGGTTTTTGGACAGGGCTACTTGACGTGACTGACTAAAGCCCTGGCCTTCAGTAAGGTAATGGCATCGAATAGCCACAGCCTGGACTCTAATCATCTGATTTGGTAAAGCCGCTATAGCTGGAGGACACATGGGGAGAACATTTGGCAGCAACTAGATTAAAATACTTGGCGAAGGTTGATTTGAGCAATTTCAGCCCTGACCCTTTTTCGTCAGGAACGAGCGTCGTTACGTCGGAAGAGCAGCACGAGCCGGTATGCAGCGAGTTTAATAGACAGAAACTCCAATATTAATCTACTCGATATCGATAATAATAACGCGAGAGTTTGCAAGTTGCCTCAAGACTGTAGTTGCAACTGTCAAAGGTGGAGTGGATACGCGCATGACCCAACACACATTACTGTAATACTGTACACGGCCGCCGAGATAATATCCGTATAAAAAACCGAAATAATCCCGAGGTAAGGAACCGAGGACTGTACCAAAACCGACTGAGGTTTGGCGTTTCTGCTCATTTTCCTTCGCTTCGTTTCCTTTTACTCTAACCAAGTGTTTCGCTGCCGTCGAAATTACTGCACTAAATTTATTTTTGTGCCTCCCTTTAGTTCCAGCCAGCGCAAGGATTTTTTTTTACTCCTCCTTCGTAATAAAGTCGCCATTTTGCTTCACTGCCTATATAAACCATCCCGTATTCTAATATTTTTCCTCAAGGATTCGAGGACCTACCTATTTTTCCTGGCTATTTCTTATATTTCTGGAGTGTTTAACGAGAAGACAGGGGTTGAAGAAGTGCCTCGTGGTATAGCCTACATATTAATGCAGGGAAGGAGGGGGGGCAAGGCAAAACGAAACTGGGAATGAGGTGAAAGTATCCAGGATTTCTTTTTATGTACAGACTTAAATGTAATTTCTCTTCTCCTCCCCTGCTCCGGTTTTTCTTCCACCTCGTCGTCGTCCACAGAGTGGGGAGACTGGACCACCGTGACGACTGTCCACTTCATTTCTGGCTCCCCAACCTCAGTGTGACCGCTCGTTGACGAACAGCAGGTGTGATTGCCATGTAACACAACATTGGTGGAAAAACGCCCACTTCGGTGTCTGTCTCCTGACCCCCTCCTCCTCCCTCACGTGGGTGACCCGGGGCCACCCGGCCCCTAGAGCTGGGTGACTGCCCGACCCTTCAGGTAGGTGTGGCCGACTCTTTATTTTTACTTTGAAACATAAATAGTCAGTGTTGAAAGTAACTGTACATGTACTCAAGTGCTGTACTTAACTACAGTTCTGAGGTACTTTACTTGAGTATTTCCATTGTATGTTACTTTGTACTTCTACTCCACTGCAATTCAGAGGTAAATATTATACTTTGGCTTTGACATTTATGTGATTTTGCAGAGTTGGATTAATTATGTGAAATATAGTGAACACTTACATAAGACTATAGTTACCCTGCAGTATAAAAAGTAATTAAAACTAGCTGCACCCTTACAAGCTTTAATAACACCTAAATGCATCAATAACTATGATCAAAACATATAATATATATTATCCTCAAATTGGCCAATCTGCATAATTACTGCTACTTTTAAGTATGTTTTGATGCTAGTAGTTTTGTACTTTTACTTGAGTAACATTTTGAATACAGGACTATTGTAAGAGAGTGTACACTGTGCTATTTCTACTTAATTATTACTGAATTACAAGATCTGAGTACTTCCTCCACCTCTGTAAATAGGCAACACGGTAACCTTGTTGTAGTTGACACACAAAGCATGGCAGTGTGCCACGTGCAGAGCTAAAATACTTATTTCCAGGTTGGTTTGTCAGCAGATTGTGAGAGGAGAGTGGGTGTCCCAGGTTTTGTTGTGTCTAGCTAGATGTAGTATGGGAATGTAGGACTGTCGTTTACTTG